ATCAATGGTATTTACTATCATCTTGCCAAAAGATTATCAGGAGTCCATTATGTGAGCAAATAAATTTTTTATAACCATATAAATGAAAAAGAGGCCATCCTTAGATGGTCGTGTGATTTGGTCTCATTTTTTTCTCTTCCTTCCACCATTTTCACACATCATAATGTATAACTTATAACTAAAACAAACCCTGAAATTTAACTTTAAATTAGTGTTATTTTCACAATTCTGTATCACTAGATCCAGAGGTATGACTTAGTACAAGAATAAGTAAAAAAATTTGTTTGAAGGTGAGCATCTCATCATCATAAATTTCTGACCCAACTCCGCCTTCTAGGTGCATGGTCAAGCTGCTGATAAATAAAATTGTTTCCTCATTCAAATTAAAATATATTTTTATAATTTTATAAACAAGCAAAAATCACAACCTCTAATCATAAAGGGGCAGAGGGAAATATATTTAACACTAAATTACAGTCATTATTGAAATTAATTGTAAAAGGATAATGAACTTTTTAAATTAAATTTTTAAATTAAATTTTGCTCTAAAAACTCATCATTGAAAAAAAAAAAAATTTTATCTTTAAAATTATGCATGTTCTTCTATATTTCAAACGTTTTTAAAAAAGTCTGTCAGTACTAAAAAATGAGGTTGTGCTTTGAAATTATTAATTGCCTTTACACTACAAACAATTAAAGAGTTTTAATGCAAAATAATTTGAATATTGTTTTCAGATTCAATATATGTCTAAAGAACGTGATTCCAGCTCTGTAAGACCTTTCCAGATTTTAGGAATCTTATCACTGGTCCAGCTGACATTCTCCATTGTTTTACAATTGGTTCCCCTTTTTATTGCTCTTAGAAATAAAAGCAAAGTGTCCAGCAATTATATACAGATTAGAGGAAGGTATGAGACTATGAAATGGTCTGAAATTTTCTAAAATGTGTCTCAAAACTCAAACCTAGATCAGACCCTGAATATTTTTTAGTAAACACTAATTTTAAATTATTCACGACATGACCTAACAGTTTATTTTCTATTTGTAGCTGAATCTTATGGTCATGTAAACTTTAGAGGTAAACATTAATTTAAACACATAACATAAATTTGAGAGAAATTCAAATATTGTAATTCTATTAGTACATTGTGTAGAGTTGATATGTATTTTTAATATTTCTTATTATTTCATCAATGAGGCTTGTAACTTTTTTGTCACTCTAACTCTAATGGAAATGCAGTACAATTATTCATACTCCAAAAACTTTACATTTTTAAACAAAATATGATTTTAAAATTTGTAAATAGAAATGTAGACCAAAGAACAACAAAAATGTTTACCTACAGATATGTGTGAAAAAGTACAATTTCTCTCTTTTGACAATCACTTTATTACTTTTTGTTCAAATTAATAAATTGATTAAGATTTATTAAATATTTTACAGGAATGCTAATAGTGAATCAGTTGTATTTAGACTTCTACCTCATGAAAAGTGCCCTTTGTGTTTGAGTCATCGGAAACAATCTACTTTAACTCCATGTGGTCATCTGTTTTGTTGGGCATGTATACATGAATGGTGTCTTACTAAGGTTATTTACTCTTATGTTCTTTTTTCCTACTAATCGTTAATAGTATTTTATAATGATAATATATTACCTTTCTGTTGCTTTGTCTTTTAATTAGTTTAATTTATAAAAATAATATTTAAAAGCTTTTAAATTTTAATATTTTCGGCCAACTGCAGTTATTTCCATGCCCTAAGCGGCACTAATGCTAACACTAGCTACACCACTTCCCCCAGAACAAAATATCCAGACATCAACCTGATTCCTCATGCACACAAATACACTACAATTAAGCTCCATCAGTGTATGAGGTATTCCACACAATAAGAAAGGCAAACTTTTTGCGGGCCTGTTTGGTTATCAGAAAAGTAGGTAAGTAGGGGTATTCAAAACCACCAAGTTCAACATTAAAATGAGATTGTGATTTTCCTATATTTTTTTTACCAATAAACTTTTTATTTATTTACTCCACAGCAAGAATGCCCTTTATGCAGAGACCTGTTTTCTCCACATCATTTGCTTCCTCTTCAGAATTATGATCCTGCATAAATACTGTTTTTAAAAATTGGTCCCAATGAGAAATTTCACCAACCCAAAATTTAAAAATAACTCTTGAAGCACTTTGAATATTCCGCCACAATTGAAAATGTTAGTACAAATTCTTATTTAGTTTTAAGATTTTGTAATATAATCAATGGCACTTCAAAATGACAGGATGGGACTAAACATTAAAATAAAAACATAATGCCTGCCACTGGCATAGAATGCAATGCAAGCAAGAAGGGGGGTTACAACAAAAAAAAAGAGAAGGGTTGTATTATGTATTGGCTTAAGTTTAAGTGTAAAATGAAAGTATTTTACATAAAATTTGGGGCTTGTGGCCTAAAATATGCTGAAGGTTCCATTGATAATTCATGAGTGCAATTTACTGGTAAATTTCTTTTTCCAGATTCTTCACTGAAAGAAATATGTAGTATTTTTAGTTTAACATAATTTGATTATTTAATAAGATTTCTAGTAGAGCTTTGCAGTTATGCTTTATATTTATTTTATTAAACAAAGATGAATATTTGATGTTTAAGAATATTTAATATTTATTACTTATTTATATACCCGGTACAGTGGTTTCTGACTTTGTTTGAATAGTTTCATTCTCTGCTGTCAAATAAAAATGAATACAATACAAACTAAAGTTGTGTGGTAAAAATTTAATTTGACAAAATACATATCAAAGTAATTTCATAACCAATTTTAATCTGCAATTTAACATTGTGGAGATCTCACAAGGTTTACATTACGGTACATTAATTCATTATAATTATAAATCTTAAAATCTTTTTGTGTAAAAAAAGGAAACATTTCAAAATTCATGAATATGAATCCAAATGCAATTTCAAGTTTAAATCATATTCCCAATATTTAGTAATTGTATTTAGTTGCTTACAAGATCTTACATCAAGTAAAATATATCACAGAAGAATCTTTTTTTGTTTTTGTAATTGTTTTATCACATGCAATCCAACTAGAGCAGTTATTATGAAACTCATCAAGGAGAACAGTGGATTTTAGAATGGACAGTAGTAAATCTTATTATGTGCTAGTTGTAGGAGTAGACTCTTCACTTATATAATATAATAAATTACATCTAACTTAATACGGTATTCAAAATGTCATGAAATTTAAAAAATATTTTGTTAAATATAATATTTGAACAATAATTATAATTAAAAAAAAAGAAATGAAAAACAAGACAGAATTTAGGGAGCACATATCAATATTAGCAAGGGTTTGTTATAGGAAAGCAAATCTAGAAATATTCCTGGAAGTTAAAAATGTTTCACCACAAAATTTAATTTAATGGCTTATTTTTTTTTTAAAGTTTTGACCTTAATATAAAAGTTAGGGCATCTGGCAGCACTGCCAATACTTCGTTTTAACTTTGTGACCAAGTCATGGATGCATCTTTCAATTTGGGGGTGAGAGAATCTAAATGAAAATTTTTTTACTGTCATTATGCCCTCTCAGGGTCTATCACTTTATCAAAGTGGGCCGACACATTTTGCGTATCAGTATCATTAGGTTTTTCTGAGGACTCCCCAAATCTTTGCTTGCCCCTGGTGGCACTATTAAGATATGTCACTGCATCTGTATCTAGAGATAAACCTGCAAGTCTGACATGTTGCGTAGTTGTTATTGTTGATATTTTGTATGCTTGAACAGAGAAAATGCAATTGGTTACCCGGTATCATTTGTTTTTAACATTTTTAATTGCACTAAATTTATAATGCTTAACAATAAAACGGCAGAAGTTCAGCTGCAAAATTGTTTTAAGTACTCTATGTAAGGTATAATTAGCTTTTCAGTGTTTCACAGATCTAAAAATACATTATATTTTTAGTCAATAAGATGACATTATGTAGCACATTATGTTGTGAAAATCTCTTAACTTTAACTTTTGATCCCTTTGTGTACCTTTGGAGTTTTCTTTTTGTAAGAAATGTCTTGATTATTGTCTAATGTTCTTTTTTTGTATTTTTGTGGTGCCCCTCATGTCCTAAGCACCTGCTTATTTTGCTTAACTTAATGGTACATCTTCGCCTGAATACAAACAACCCTTTGGCTCAACCTGAGGTCTGATTAGGTTCAGCAGGGAGATTACAATATGAACATAAAAAAAAATATTTAATACTGGTATCAATAGTTTTTAGTGTTTTGTATTTACTTCATTGTTTGACTTTTGTGGTCACATTAAATGTTTTATAATCAGGTAAATATTTTTAATATTTCTAAATCAAATAATGACAAAATATCAATGACATTTATTTTTTTAAAAATACTTTAAGTTTAAATTAGTTTTTCATGTAGGAATAGTAATTGCAAGAAGGCTGATGAGAGCATTTCATTTTGAGATAAACAATAGGACAATACAAAAGATACAAGGACTGTTGTAATAAAAGTACAATATAATACCCTCTCTATTTACAACTTAAAGCTATTCAATATTAACTATATACCAATACATCAACGCTATTAATGATGTTCGCAATTTGGGATGCGATTTGTTTTCAAAAAATGTTTAAAGAAAGATGAGAGATATTTAAGTTAAATTTAACCTTATTAATATTAATAATGCAAAAGATTAATATATTAATATTATTTATGAACAATTTCATGTTTATAGATAACACAGAATAATAAAAATGTAGAATTGGTGTATCAATGAAATCTCAACTACGATAAGTAATGAACAAATATTTGACTACATAAAGAAGAACAATTTGCTAATCAAATTCATTATATTTCCTATTAAATGTAATTTACATATTTATTTCTGAAAAACTGAAGATAATTTTGCCACCGGTATTTTACATTGTTTTAAAAGTTTATATTTTTATATAATTTAATTATTTTAATACATGTTATTTACAAAAATTTGAGATATTGCATTACAAATGATATAGAAATCAGGATTAAAAATAGTGTATACATAAATATATCCAGCAGACATTGTACTGAACTACTAGAATAGCGTCTGTAGTAACACAAATAATAATTCTCTAGGTATGTATGGCTGTAACCTTGTGTTCAATAGGTGTGCAAATTACAATTCCCAGAAATTAGCAATCAGGATTTTTATGAAGTGTGTTACTTCAATGCATGTTTGGGAAATTAGGTCACTATTATAGTACCTAAAATTGGAGAACTTTAGCCTATTGGTGTAACTTTGGGCCAGAGGGAGAAAAAATATTTTAAAATGTCGATTAATTTTTTATATATTATTATTATTACAATTACTGTCAATTTAAACTAAATTTTTCTGAAAATGAATGATTAAATCTTGCAAAAACAAAGCATAGCAGACGGAAAAAATAGATGTATTAAATTTAATCTCTTATTTATCCATGAAATTTATAGTTATCAATTAGATGTTCTTTTTATTTTATCTTAAAACTTACAAAGTTTTTGCTTTTAATACTGAGATCAAATTTCATTTTATAATTAAATATAGTAAAAACAATTCAATATTTATAAGTTATAAATTAACAAGGAAATTTTGTACACAAAATGAAAAAAAAAAACTGTGATAAATAGGGTTGCACTGATTAATCATAAGATAATGGGTAATCAGCCCATTTGACAGGTAAAACTGACTGAAACCTATTAATCAGCTTATCAATTTTGGATATCAGTATCAGAGAATGCAACCGCAGATGTAAATCTTAACAGTTTTAATTAACAGAATCTTTGGTGTTCTTATGATTTTATCAAACTTTTACCAAAACAGATATGTGCATATTCTGGGCTGTCTATCCTTAGTTTCTTTTCCCCAAATGATGCATTGCTGTTTTTTTTTTTTTTTGTAATTCAAAAGACAAAACATACAAATTTCAATCTCAATTTGGTCTTGGACTGTAATAACTTTCTGATACGACATAACTTACTCTTGTAAACTTTTTGTTAAGTTACTTAAGTGTTTCGTGTCTCAAACTAGTCAAACAATCCTATCTTGATGCATCTTTATGGGTTCTCCTGCTCATCACGGGTTTAGATTATAAACAAAGACTATTTCAGACTTGTTTACCCTCAAACACTTAAAATTTTACAATATCATCACAAAATCATTCAATACGTTATCTTAATAGTAAAAAAAAAAATAACCATACAGTATATATCATGTATACACCTCAAAATCGTACATTTTATGCCAAAATCGTAAGAGTAAACAGGTCTTCTATTTTAAATTTCTTCTTTATACATTATTTGTGTGTGCATTCATTTCACTTCAGCATCAAGCAATAGCTTAATATAGAATGTGTGGCCCATTAAAAATGATCCAGGTTGGGATCCTAATAATTTTTTGTATTAGGATGTAGTCGGCCAATTTGTTTATCTCTGCACAATCCTAATAAAAATATTTATATTGCACAATAAGACTGCATTTTTAAACTAATCAACTATGTCTGTACATGCAGCCATTTCTAAACATTTTATATGTTGAAGTATGTCCAACCCTGTTTCCCAAGGTACAATTTTAGCCTTTATTTCTGAAATCTTGACAGGTTTATTTTTTCTTTTTATTTTTTCTATCAGTCGCTCCAAGGCAAAACCTTTCCTAGGCATAAAGATATCTTGTGGTCTTAAAACAAGTCCAGGGCATAGATCATTATGTCCATCCCCAACATAAATTATATGTTTGTACTCAGCGCCTTCATTCTCACGCTCGGCAAGAAATGATTTTAATATATGACCTTTACATAGGTTTATTGTACTTAGGGTGCACCAGTCTTGTATATGATAATGTTTAAGCCTAAGACAACCACTGTCATCAAACTCAGCTGGATTAGTGAATACTTTAGTAATGGTAGGGGATAAATTATTAGCACCTAGGATATGATCTATAAAAACAGAATTAGAGTCAGAGATAATGATATGATCAACATTAGCAATTGTCTGGGAATAAGTTAGTAGATCATTCATTCCTTTAGTTAAAGGTATCTGAGATATGCATTCAAGTATTTCATTTGGAGTACGGCCATTCTTATGCAAGTATCTGCAATGGAAAAAAAATAGTGTTTTTTTTAAACAGAGTAACCATGGAAATTGTATACACATTTAAATACCTGGCATATTCTTTCTTTAACTTATAAACACTCCTTCAAAAATGTCATTCAAATCTCAGATTTGAAAAGGTTTTTTTGATGTAACTACTGTGTAAATTAAATTTTTGTAAAAAATAAGGGCACTTGTGTCCAGCGACTGTTTACATGAGATACAATAATGTCTTTAAAATTATAAGACATAACCAAAATGTTTTATAATTATTATTGTTTTTCTGTCAATAGAGTATTTTTATATTTAGCTTTTAATTACATTTTAAAATTTTCTAAGGCCCTGGAGCAGTAGCATCACTAGGGGGGTACAGGCTGTACAGGGTGTCATCCTCACCCAAAATGGAAAAAAAAATCATGCTAAACTGAGCTTGCTCTAGTTGATTTCATAACCAACCTACTTAAAAATGAAAGCAAGGTGCCACCTTAGCAGACTGCTACTAGAGCAGGATGCCTCCTAAGCATCCAGTACATGTTGGCATAGGTTCAGATTTAGTGCTGCCTGGAGCCAGAACTGGTGTTTTTATAAGCAGAAGTCACTTGGTTCAATGAAAGTATTTTGTCATTTACATTGTAAAATAGATTAGAATAGGAAGTCAATTAAAAGGTGAATAATCACCAATGGCTTCCACTCAATCATATAAGTAATAGTTATTATACTATTATTTGCCATATGGGGTTTGTAAATAAAAAAGTTTATGGTACCTGGATAATCATTTAATATCTCAAGATACCAAATTATTAAAAGTTCATCAGAAGAAGCTACTCACCAGACTTAATTAATGGTTAACGTTTGGACTGAAATTGATAAGGAAGTTAATTTTCTGCAGAAATACCAGCAGATTGTAAAGGTAGTGGCACTTAGACTTTTTTGCAATAGTTGCACAGACATAAACTGAGTAAAATGAAACTGAAAAAGAGCTTTTAAAATGAGACTAATAAGAAGCTGCTGTAAAGAGATTATTAATGTTCCAAGAGAGAATGACAGGACAGCCATCATTAGATGCTGGACTCACTCTGCAAAATTAAAATAGAAAAAAGAGGGTCATGGTTGAGTTTACTCATTGTTTTCATTCTGAACTTAAGAGCAAGAGCCTTCAAGTTCAAGTAAGGAGCAGATATCTTAGGGGCTCTTTCAGTGAAGAGTCTACTACTACTACTACTAACACATAATTAGAGTTACTACTGTCCATTCTAAAAATCCACTGTTCTCTATGATGAGTTATCCAAATGTGAGATTTTAATTTTAACTAACATACTGGTACCAAGACTGAGAAATCAAGGGAAACCAGCAACTAAAGATTGGTCAATATTCGATGTTTTGAAATTCTTAGATAGAATCTCTCCCAATTCTCTCACTAAGCCTACAATTAGTGCTCATGATCTGTTTGTCGTTTTATCAATTGAAAGTAATTTTTATGAAGGAGGTATAATAGATAATAAGATCAACAGAATTGCCAATGAAATAGTGTCGGGAGTGAAGGGAAATCTGTCTTATTTATCACCAAGCTGATGGTATATAGGGACATTGTTCTGACAACTCAATAGACATACTAGACCACTAAATCATCACCACCATTGTTCTGTTACAGACAAATTCAGGAAAGGTCTGTGGGGGCTTTATGAGGAGTAGGATTACAATATTAGTTCACCACACTTAGGTGATACCCACCCTAGTGATGCCATTTCTAAGGATTAATCGATGTCTGTTGATTGACAATTGTGCAAGGAACTAGTTAATTACAACTCCTACTTAAATATCTCAGCCATGTAATCAGTCCAACCATCTTCTGCATACAAACTTTTAATTTCTTCAGGAAGTTCTCCACCTGGAGCTAATTTGGTAACATAGGTGTCACTGTTTTCATCAACAAGTGAATGGTCAAAATCAAACACCATCAATAGTCTTTCCTTTTTAATTGATGACATCTCTGCAATAAAGAAATTTTCAAAATGAAAAACTAAATAAGTGCTAGAATCTAATTCATTTTTAGGTTTTATCTACCAAAAAAAAAATCTTCATTTAAAACATAAACTGACCCAGAATAAGGTACCTTAAAAGATTAAACATGAGAAAAATTTGCTCCAAATATCATGTTTAATTATGTTGCTCCAAATTCTGCCAATCACTCTTAATAGGCCAAGATTTACAAATTCATTGATTAACATATATGATTGTTTACGTTCATAAAGTGATGATTTCCCAAACTCGTCCATTAATCCAGTGTCAAACAGTTTTCTTTCTTCTTTCAGCTTCCACAGTTTATTAATCAGAGAGGTTTTAACAGTCTCACTGTGCTTTAACACTATCTTTTTAATTGAATTAGAAGATGTTGGCAAATTTTAGCCACAATGCTTCATGATTCATCTTTGATCATTAGAAGTAATAAAAAAACTGATTGGAAGAACATCTAAAGCTGCCATACAAGAAACTGTTTCGTCTAAGCTGTTTGAACTTGGAAAATAGCATGTTAATTTGCTTTTTTTTTAAAATTGGTTTTTCATCTTCTGTGTCGGCCGGAAGTTTTAGAACAAGGTGCCATAGAATGCTCTTGGAGTACCAGTCCAGAAACGGAGATATCTTTCAATGCAGTGGAATGTGCAGACTTTAAATGAGCGTGAAGTTGTGCCCCCCAATGTTTTAAGTATCTTGTTACATTTAGTTGAGGGATTGTCCCTAGCTTTCAAGAAATAATACCAAACTTATGTCTTTGTTTCTGATAGCTTCATATGCTTTTCCTTTTCATATTTAGGTTTATTCTTTTCAGGGTCCCCCATTTCATTCTATCAACTTGAAGGGAAAATAAATCATTAGCAAAAATGTATTTATTAAATCGAATTGGTTTGACATGTAAAACTTTTTTAAAAAATGTTTAAATACCTGGTATTCAGGCAAATGTTTGGCTACGTACGGTACAAACTGGGACATTCAGTCATGTAAACGTTTGGCTAGGTAAAGTACAGACAAACTGGGACATTCAGTCATGTAAATGTTTGGCTAGGTACAATACAGACAAGCTGGAACATTCAGCATGGGACAAAATAGCTCGAAAATCAATTATGAGGGGAATGTGAATTATTAATATTGTTATCACTATGACAAAATAGAAGTAACATAATTTTTCTATGTCTTAAACTTAAGATATTTGATTATCGAAATACAGATTTACTCATAGTTTTAAATGTGTAGGTACTTTGGCATAATTAAATCAAGCAATGAAACATTTTTGTTACCGGGTATATAAAGTTTACCCTTTTTTTCTAGTGCAACGTGTTATTATTTCTATCTAATTCTTGTTATAAACAATTGATCTTCATTCTACTATACCAATTACTTGTTTGTCAATAATATGAAAACATTAACTTACCAATCCTGTATGTTCACAACACGACTCACGTCTCTTCTTAGACACCACACACGCATGATGTAAAAACAAAATTAATCACAACACCATGATTCTTGACAAATGAACAGTACACAGATTTAGCGCTCACGATCAATGTGTTGATCATTCTGGCTCCATCTAATCATAATCCTGAATCTATATAATTTCTTGTTTCTTATTACTACTATTCAAGTTTTGTGTTTATCTTTTGTTAATTTTAGTCAAAATATTAAATATTTGTTTATGTAAACTATGTCCTATGCCTATGACCATGTCCTAATAAAAATATAATTACTATGATCATATAATGATAAATATTTATTTATTTGAAATCTTTTAATAAAATGTTATGGGCTAATGTTTTCTAATTTTAAAAAAGTCAATAGTCATAGTGTGATGCAATTTTCACAAAAATATATATTATTAAGAAAAGATAAGACTTAGAAGTATATCAGTATGCTTAGCTTACTTTATTGGAATAATAATTAATAATAGTGTTATTAATAGTAATTGGACTGCTTTTTTTGTTATTATTCCTTTAATTATAATTAATAAATGCCAATATAACCAGGCCTATTAATATAATTATTTATATAGATCAATGGACTAAAATAAGTTCAAAATTTTACAGACTACACGAATTAAAATTACTTAAACCCTTTCCGCTGCAACATATTGTCTCTAGTGACTGGGTGTAACACACCAATACACTTATTATAATGGGGATAAGTGTTTTTGAAGATTCCTGGCAACATAGTCTTATATCACAGTAAATGGCTCTCTTTATGTTATTTTCTTTTTTACAATGTGGCATGATTTAGTTGCCTTGAAACCGAACTCCCTTCACAGATTGCATAGTATCTCCCACTGAAGCATTTCTTCTGTACATTAATGAAAAAAATGATACAAACAATAGTGGACTGCACCAACAGGGAAGGAGAGAAAGTAAAAGGAGACAAATGGCAAAGGAATGATGTGATCTAATTGAAAGCTTTTATTGGCTGCCTACTACACACTGGCGCTCTTCATTTGAACAGCGTTTCAGTGAAATTTTTTTCAGTCATGTTGATAGAAATCCTCTTTTTAGGGCAGCATTTTCAATGAAGAGATTCAGCAAACTTCTGATTCATATTGGCTTTGACAACAAAGATGGTTGATCAATCCTTTCTGGCTCATGACATCTTTGATCCCATAAGAGATGTATGAGAAGCATTCCTGAGTTATTTGGCGAGGTATTATATTCCTGGGGAGAACATCACAGTAGGTGAGCAACTGGTTGGTTTCAGAGGTCAGTGCAGTTTTATGCAATATATGCCAAGCAAGCCTGACAAATATGGAATAAAAATCTTCTGGGCCTGCAAATGTCTTCGAGAGGCTGCCCATATCTCGGCAAAGAAAATGCAAGAGCCCTGCCAGTAAAGAGAAATGTTGGATTTTGGTTGTGTTTTTCAACATTATTGACTTGGCATAAATTTCGGCAAGATTGGCATTTAAATATAAATATCCGACCAACTCACTGTCTCACCCTTCCCCAAGTAGAGGCGATCCGTCCCAACACATCAAGATATTGTGAGGCAGAACATCACCAATGTTTTGAAATCTTTACAAACACTTCAAACAGCTGCCCAAACCACTTCAACTCAGCAAGTTTATTTATTATTAGACATATTTGTAAAGAAAAATTATGTTCTTTTATGTAAAACTGCGCAAAGTGAGCCGCAAAGCCCCTATTTTCCATGTGTATGTGACTGTTCTGAAATGCTTTGTCAAGTTCAATACATGTTATTATTGTTGCATTCAGAATATTTATTTATTGTCAAAATTTAAAATTTATTTTATGGATTACAAACATTCATCAACAAAGAACAAAAAATTTCACAAGCCAGTTTATACATTTTTTCTTCTATTAAATTATGCACAGGTTTGTTACACCCAGTTGCTAGGGACTGTAGAAAATAGATTAGGCCCCAAAAAATAAGTCACTTTCACATGCGTTATACAATTGCATTAGCCAAAGTGTTCATTCCAACTATCTTGTGTATTAGGTAGAGCATGCGAAAGATTATTAAAAGGAGACTTGAGATATCAGCAATCACAGTCTGTCTCCGGTTTGGAATAATATACATGGTTTATGATTATAATTTTTTCTAAATTTCGCAAATAAATCAGCCATAGACAAATGCTTGCAGGAGACATAAATATACATACAAATTTTTTTTTAAAGACAACGCTAGCTTGCAAATGTTTGCTAGACCGTTTAATTAACCTCCTTTTGTCTGCATTTGAACTACCCGCCCTCTAATTATGCCCTAATATCTCTTATATATATTACAATTCTGGTAGACTGCTTCCATTTCTAGCAGCTTCCTAATCAGCATATTTGGTACTGGGATTATTTTCGTAGCTTTGTATTTTGTGACGTTTATTGGGTGTGAGAAATGACGTTGTTAATGTTGTTATGTTTTAGCAAGAGCAGCAGTGATGGCGTAGTTGGTAATGGTGTGTTAGCAATGAAGTTCTTTATTTAATAAAGAGGCGTTTGCTACATGATACATTGGTTTGTAAAATATTTAATAAAATGAATTATATTACAGATATTTCTCTATGCTTGAAAGTAAGATTCAATAGTGATTTCAGTAGAGCGCAAAATATAATTCCCGGTAAATAAGCTAAATGATTTTTTTTAAATAACACAACTGCATTTGGTGTGTAATATTTTCTTTTCAGAAAATGAAATCCTCTCAATTTAAAAATGGTGAAGTGTAATAAATATTCGGTAATTGGGATTCTTTTCTGATTCTGATAGGGTACGTTGCTGCATCCATGTACTGGCATATGTGCAACGGTTTGGGAAACGATGCGGCTATCCTAACGGCTCCTAGCAGGTGCCAGGCCAGCCTTGAAATTCTCGATTGATGTCGAGTCCACAGCGGCATTGTCCAGTTGGTTCCAAGCAATTATTGTTCGTGGGAAGAATGATTGTTTATATTGAAGTGTGTTACACCCAGGCACAGTGAAGCATTTACCATTATTCCGGATGTAACTGCTCATGAGTCGTGGTTCATCATGGAGTTGTCAGAGGTGAAGTCAGTGTTTCTTAAATGTGCGTTACTTGAGTTCATGTTTTGTCAAGTAACTTTAGTAGATATACTTCTTCTTCTTCTGTATCTTAAGGGCCCATGATCAATTTAATGATCATTTTGGCTCCTATGCATGTAGATGGGATTTGCAATGTTTCTGTTCCTGGTGTTGATGAGGAAATTTCACTGATTTCCAGTGCCACTTTGTGAGGGAATCATGCACTAGGGGTTTGAAGGCTTGAGGCAATAGACACAAATGTGTCTAATATTGTCGCCTCAACCGTTCCTTAGGCTAAAACTATTATCATTATCATAAAATTATGGGATTTTCACTCATACTCATTGGCGTCGCACGTCGCAAGTGTTCGGCGAGCTATTATTACTATTATTATATATTGACTATAACTATAACTAGTAGTAATAAAAATTCCACCACACACCTTACCAACAAATCTTCAATGAAGAGTTAATTCCTTTCCTAAATTTCAATATGACAGGTTGGATTCAGACCAATTATATGACATATGTTGGAACGTGTACGTTGAAATAGTATGATATAGCCCGATAGACTTATGTTGTGACAAATCAAGTAGTTTGAATTTAAAGTTATTCCCCCATTGCCGGAAGCAGCGTACTGGTAACTTGATTGTTTGCCTGGTTACGGTATAGCCGACATCCGCAGGCAAGTGGATGTTGTGATAGAGATAGACGAGTAAGTGTTGAGCTTACTTGTGTTGATATAAACAAAAATGGCAACAGTCATGCACGGTCGACGAAAGGGGCAGCCAAGAGGTATTACCGTTTACATTTTATATTGTTATTGTCTCGACTTTTTTAAGTCAGTTTCAATAAACTAAATCAAATCTATTCATTATCATTAAGCCTAATAATTGATGATAATGATAGTAATTAATTAATTAATTCTAATTCAGTTTCAATAAACTAAATCTATTCATTAAGCCTAATAATTGATGATAATGATAGTAATTAATTAATTTATTCTAATTCATACTTAGTTACTAGTTACTAGTACTACACGAACTAGACTAGAGTCTGGTAAAATGATACTGCACTGATCATTGATGCAGTGATAGTCTAAAGTTAAGACTTAAGTTTAAGAGACTTAAAACAACATAACTGATGAATGGGTAAATACTAAATATGCTTCTACTACCAAGTGTCTGTTTATAAATTTTGCGCTATGACAAGTTTTAATTTTTGATACTACTGGTACTAAGTAAAATGTTAGGAATAGTGAAAGCTTACCATGACCATAGCCAAAGTTTTAGTTTAATTAATATTTAATTCATGTGGCATGTAATTGTAATTTTTAACAGTAGCATGTTATTTTTACCTTTCATTATAATTTTATCATGATATAAAATAAAATATAATATAATTTACATGATTAAGATCAAACTCAAATCTCTATCTTCTACTTTAAGACTAGTATTGTATACTGCAAACTGAAAAATAAATATACTATTGATTACTATTTAACTAACTGTAACTTAGCTAACTTAATTATTAATAATACCAGTAACATCGTTTGCTACTTATTAAAATCATCTACTAACTTTCTATTGCCAAAGCTTATTTTAAATTTTGTTCAAATAGAACATTAACTGTAACAGTTATAAATTGTTATTCCTGACAAGTATTTACTACAAAATTATTGTTTATGATATGCCTCAGAGTTTCAATTAAATTACAAAGTCAAAAGTGAAGGTAAATTTGTAAAGATTTCTAGGTCTCAAAATAGTTAAAATGAGCATATCCAAGGAGGCCACCGGACCCCTCTTTATCTGGGGGGGGGGGGGGGGTAATATCCCCCCCCGAACCCCCCTGGGGTGGGTCCGGTTTTTCCAGTTCTTTAAAATGGGCCTATCCAAGGAGGCCCCCGGCCCCCTCTTTTTCTGGGGGGGGGGGGTGTAATATCCCCCCCCGAACCCTCCTTGGGTGTGTCCAGTTTTTCCAGTTCATCAAGCAATGTAGGTGCTTTTTTACACCCCCCCCCTCCCATCGTCACAAAAAGTTAGACCCCCCTCAAATAGACCCCCACAATCCTCTGCACCCGCCTTCATAAGAAACCCTCTTTACACTACTGTCCTTTATAAACCCTTAAAGAAATTCACCTCCAATGGATATCAGATAACTGCACCTGGGACAGAAACATTTCCCCTAGGCTCTAGAGCAGAACCCTGAGGTGCCAGAGACCCAGAAATTGTATCTGCTGCCATTGCTAGTTGTTGCTGCATTTAAAAAAAACGGTTTTTATGCATTTTGATGAGCAGCAGTATATGTTTTTGTGGTGAATTTCATTTGTGCCATACTTGTATTAGTAAATTTTTTATATTGTTTCTATTTCTAGTATAGTTAATTGGAGAAAAAAAAACACTAAATTATTTAATTATCATAATTTAAAATTTTTTATTGCAATAAAATTTATGCAGGAGGCCAGGAGGGGGAAGGTTGCTGAAAATGTTTTAAAATTGATAGGGGATGCAGCGCTGCAAAGTGGTTAAGAATACCTGCCCTAGAATATCTTCTAGGATCACCCCCAAGTCAACCATTTTTTGTTCCATCCCACTTCACGTGATAGCCCTTATTCTATCACTCACATCTCTACATTGAGACATAAATTCTCACAACTGGCAGTATCACTAAACCCAGATTCTCCTCCTATGTGGTGTCCTGTAACTTGATCACAGGCCAATTTCTGGACCTCACATACCTGTACTGATTCTCTAAGGGATTGTAGTTTAAAAATAACATAATTATAAATTAATTTTATTAAGTGCATTTTTCAGTAATAATAATGTTCCACTTGTAATGGGATGTCACATTCCTTAAATACCCCAGTCGTCACACATTATCTCAAAAATGTGACACCCCCCTCCTTTCTGAACATGTATTGTCATTTATGGATGGCCCTTATTACATAATTTAGTTTTATGTATCTAGGCTTATAATTATATATAAAAAAATGGTATAGAAATAAATAAATATATTTATTTATAAATACTAGCCAATATACCCAGCATGGCCCTGGATTGCATTAGGACCCCAATCCTGGCGCAGTCCGGTTTCCTGGTGTGATCCTGATCACCTACTGATTGGGAGTTCCAGTTTACTGTTGGATCTCGTTTCCCATTAGGATCCTGTTCCTCTATGCGATCATGCTAAGTGCGATTTTGTTTGAATAAGCTTTTAGATCCCGTTATATATCCCCGTAGAACAATATAGAACCTTCTGGAACATTCTATATTAAATTTAATATCCTCCACGAAACGTTTAAAAAATTAATTTTCTATGCAATTATTTCTCAAATGCGAAATATTATACAACTAAATTGTACTACTTTAACTATAGTACATTTAAATTGAAAAGGGGCCCCGATGAGGGCCCATTTAATAAAATACTGTTTTAGTTATGTCTAAGATTGGGTGGAAGGAGGGGGCTATAAAAAATCATTCAAATAAATTATAGAGTTAAAATTTAAAATTTGTCCCATTAAAATCGATTTAAAAATGCCATAGATATAGCTTTTTTAAATTATCGAACTTTCTAGAAAATTCTAGATTTGCCCTGCATGGATAGGATATAATTAGTTTTAAATCCACCTATATTTCAACACGGACAAAGAAGGGTATTGCTGCCAAGCTAGGCATAGATCCATGAATGCACATAGAACCTACAGTGTTCTCTAAGACTATTGACAAGTGATATTTATATAGCTTAAATAAGGGAAAATGAAATGGGGCCCCTGGCCCCAGAGGAATGGATATTATGAGTTCACTACCCTTCGGGTTTTAAATATGGACAATTAAGTGTATGTGTACTAAGTTTGGTCAAGATCCATCTATTCATGTAGGAGTATTTGTTGTTAATTTTATTTATATAGCTCATATAAGAAAAAAACGAATTCTGGGCCCCTGGCCACAAACGGAATGTTATAATTAGTTCATAACCCTTTAAAAGTTTCTTCCGGATAATGATGAATATATATATATATAAACAATATATATATAAACAATAAACAAGATCCATCAATCCATTTAAAAGTGTATGTGGAACAAATCCACAAACAAACAAACTTTCACTTTTATATATATATATATATATATATATAGTATTATATAATATATATATATGTAATGAACACTTATTAAAATGTAGGATTTTCAACTTAAAGGATTATCCACAAATATTCTGTCCTGCAACTAAAAAATGTATAAATGCATTAAAATTATATAGCAATAATGTAGCCCTATTGGCAGAGCTAAATTTACCACTATGCCTTATAAGGCACAATGTCTCTTTTAAGTCTGTGTTGGCCAACCCAAATGGCTTCATGGCCACTTTGATTGCTAGTCAACTCTTCACAGGTGGCATGTCATTGACATAAATACCAAATAAATGATTACACATCTCTGCCTCACATAAATAAATTTTACAAATTTTAATCAAAATATAAATATAAAATATTAATATGCAATTCTCTGTTGCAGATAAAAAATGTGCCTGTTATTGCCACTTTAATTAATGAAAATGGGGTGTAGAAAGCCATCCAAGTATCCTGAGTGAAAAGTGTCTAAGTGGGGAGGGTCAGGAGGGGGCTGAATTAAAAAATTTGGCACAAACCTGAATTTACTTTTGCATCACTCTACGTGCAACCAACAAAAAAAATAAATAAATTCTTAAGGAAATTTAGGTTACCAAATAATAATATTGTTTTTACTTTTTTTTTTCTAAGATTACTTTATATTCAAATCTAATTTTTTTTAAAGCAAGCCAAAAGAGGGGTCAGTACACCAAAATGGTGCATACCCTCATTATATATTTTTCAAATGTGTGTTTATTGCCAAGTATGAAAATAATAACTAATAGAGGGAAGAAATAAGTTCATTTGTGATACATCCAATAGGCCACAATATTTATTTAATGTGGCGAGCCATATGCAGCCCCCAGCTGGCCACCCGTGTTTTAAATTATTACTTTACTACTTATTGTATGGTGAATAGGCAAACTTTAACATTGAGTACTATTACCAGATTAACTTTAACTCTCTATTTTTTTAATAGTAAGCATAACATCCTTAAGTTACCTACAAATAATCTGATATGATGTTTTATATATTTTTAATCATAAGCTGATTCTGGGAAAAAACTCCCAGTGAATTCTAATGCTCACCATGCTGGAATGGTGTTACCCGATGGAACAGACTTAAGGCAGGTAGCAGTGTTGACCAAACAAGACTGGGATAGGATCGAACAAGAACTCAATCGGAAACAAATCCAAGATGAAATGGTGCACAAGATCAGAGAGGAAAGGGATGAGCAGAAAAAAAGATCAAAGGAACTGATAAAGAACTGGGCTAATACTTTAGCAGTAAGAACTGATATTATAACTACTTTAAAATGCATTTAATATTATCATTTAGAATTATACAAGATTTTTTTAAAATTGAAAATATAAAAGTTTTAATGGCATTCTTACTTATTTAGGGTCAAAGGCAAAGAAAGCTTGAAGCAAGAAACATTAGAGAAGAAAAAGAAGAAGATGAACGCAAGCAAATTGACATAGAAGAAGCTAAATATCAAGCACAACAGCGAAGGGAGGCAATTGAGAAAGCAAAGACACAACAATATTATCAGACTGACCGAGTTAAGGCCTTTCATGTGAGTAATTAATCCCACATAAAGTGCATAGCGAAACACAAAGATTCTTCGTATAAAATTCAGAGATAGCCTGAACTGTAAGCTGTACAAATCCCAAGCAACCCGGGTGGATGGGACTCGTTAGCCTTGGACGGCAACCTGTCTAAGAGAAGGCAAACTCTGAATTTAAACCAGGAGCCAGAATGATCAACAAATTGATCGTGGGCACCTCAAATATAAGAAGAAGCTAGGTATATGCAGTAAATATTCAGGGTTGCAGATATAATTACTGTCAAAAACTGATTATGCAGTTTTTTGAGTGTCAAATGTATTCTCTAAATATCGCCTAATTTGATATACAAAAATGATAGGAGCTGAGAAAAAAAGAAAAAGGTAAACTGACAATCATTGAATTTGTAAATTGTTTGAATTAATTTTTAATATGTTTACAAAGTTAATTTTAAATGTGCTTATTAGAGTGCACTGACCCTTACTGAAGTCTTGAAAGAGAGGGAAGCACAGCTTGAATTAAAAAGACTTAAGGAGCAGGCAATGGGAGACCAGGACAAGGAATACCAAAAAATAGATAGAGAGTTGTATGAGATGACAATTCAGGCTGACCAAGAAAAAGCCAGAGCTCGTTTGCAAGCTGCAAGTAGAACTAAACAATTCCAAATAGCACAGTAAGTTGTTTATTAACATATTTTAATGTATGTTTTTATATTGTATAAGCATTGTACACTTATATTATGGATATTGCAAAATTTAATTTAAATTCAGTTATGTGTTTATGTTTAATGATGAAGGTATTACTTGCAAGTCTAAATATGTATTTTGTTTGTTAGAAGTAGTAATTAAAATGTATTTTTTCTACATTTTATTACATCATGGTCATCTGAGCTGCTTCCAAATTTTAAGAAAATTTTGTGAAAGTAGTAACCAGGACCTATTCTGAACTATTTGTCATAATCTATCAGTGTTTTTTGATACAGCATTATTTTATGAACTTTACAAGAAATTGAAAACAGGTTATTGTAATTTAAAATAAATTGTTAAATAATTATTATTTCATTATCTCTTTTACTGGTATAATTATTTAGAAATTTACTGTAATGGTTTTAATATTTTAATCAAGCCATTAGCATGTTATTTATAAAGAATGATTTTTTTATAAGGTTTTGTAATATCCATTCTCCAGAATAAATGAACACATGAACAGTGCAGAGAAACAGAAGTTAGATGAACTCAAAGAAGCTGAGGAATTGAAAAAGTTGGCTGTGCAATTCCAGATTGAGAAGGAGAGACTTGAGAACATAAGAAGAGAAGAAAGACTGGCAATGCTCAATGAAAACATGAAGCAAATTCAAGATGTTGAAAAAATGAAAGTTTTACAAGAAAAGCAAGAAGAGGTTGTTTTTTAATGTAACAGAAAATTCATCTATGAATGCATTTCCATAAAGTTCACTCTGCCATTATCAGTTCTGGGTTTTATAATAAAACCTTAAATTGATTATGATTTAGTTCCTCACTGTAATAAGTTCTTTTGCAATTACTTTACATGCTTTTTTCTTAAAAATGTGTTTATATTTTAATTCCTCTATAAATTACTTTTAATTTTTATTTGCTATCAGGAAGAAGATGAAGAATGCAGAGTTTTTGCAGCAGCAAAAAGGAAAATGATGCAATTACGAGCCCAGAAAGAGCAGGAAATTCAAAAGTATGTGGATTTGACTTTTCTGTCATTTTATTAATTTTTTTATTTGTAATTTTCTAATTTCATAAAATACATTTTTTTAATACTTATTCTTAACTTTTACATTTATTTTCAGTGAAAAACAAGCCCAGTTGGACAAAATCCGCAATAAATTATCTGTTCAGATGAAGCAAAAGATAAGTGATGAAGATAGTAGAATTGTTCGTGCAGCTGAAGAAGCAGAGATCAAAAGAGTTGAAGAAGAAAGAGCGAAGGAAGAAAAATTGCTGAAAGAAATAAAACTTCAAGCCGAGCACAGAAATAAGCAGGTTTGTAAAGAATATACATTTACAGGAGTAGATTTTACCCAAAAAATGGTGATAAACAATAATTTTTTCAACACAGGAAAATAAAAAATTAGCAAAACAAAAATAAGTGTTCATCAAAAAGCAAAATTACAAGTGCGGCATAAAAATAGTTTATGAAAATTAAATAAGTATTAATAATAATTGCTTAATTTCAGGCTCTGCCTTTACTGACTCAAAATTGCCACAACGTCAAGATTATTATTTCACAACCAATTATTTTCAGCTTCAAGACCGAAATGAGAAAGCTAAGAGGGAAAGGAGAGAAGAGCTAGAGCTTCTTGAAATGCGCAGGGCTGCTGATGAATTATTTCACCAGAATGAGGTTGAGAAAGCCATCCGTCGTAAGCAAGAAGCTGAAGCACTTAGAAATTTCCATGTTGATCAATATGTAAGTGTCATCAAATTTAAGCTTAATGTCTTTATGCCATAATTTAAACAATTTCAATGTACCAGTGAATTTTTTTTTCAAAATGCAACTTCCATTGAAAGGTACATTTAAGTAAAAATGGCGAAAGAGTTCATTACCTCTTTAAGGTTCCACTTTAGCTAGTTTATGATGACTTAAGCTTTCTAGGGCTGACTTATTAGCAGAAACATAATACAAATATAATAGTATAGCGCAAACAAAAAAGCCTGTATCACTAAAGTACACTAATACTCCCTTTAAATTTGAAATATTACTTTTATTACACTTATATTTGAAAAGCACCCTAAGGGAAGTCAATTTGTTGGGTTTGAATGGAGTAAGGCAGGTCTTGCAGTGATTATGACCACAAGGCTTAGTTATGAAATGGGAAAGAGTTGTTCGGAAGTGGCCATGAACTAAAGGTCACATAAATTCTTAACATGTCTAAACACTATGAGAGGGGGGTGCTAAGAAAATGTTGTATGCAGCTGGGTTAGCTAGCAAAATGGCATGATTTTAAAAAAATAGTTTAGCATTGAGATTATATAAGAATAAGTTTAGCACTGTCCTCATTGGTTTGAATTCTTCAACATAGTTGATATGTTATATCCTTTGTAAGGCAGATGGGTAATTCCTACTGTGGACAAAAATTGATAATTTCCAGTGCTTTGTCATAAAAGTCTTCATCAGACTGACAAAATCGATGTAGTTGAAGTTGTTGTGTGAAGGGAATAGAGTCCTTACATGATTTAGGGTGGGATGAAGAGTATAATAAGTAGCTGTGGCTATCAGTAGGTTTATAAAAGGCTGAGTTGGATAAACCATCTGCTTAAAACACGACAGTTATGTCCAAGAAGTTTACAGAATTCTCAGAGACAAGAGATGTAAACTTAATGTGAGGGTGGAAAGAGCAGTTAAAAATGTATGAAAAGGTCAAGATCAACCATTTTCATGGTGGGTATGGCAATGCCATCATTGATGTTAAGTTTATAAAATTTGGGTAGGTGTCTTGTGTAATTTTACTCCACCACATGTTTAAAATATCCCATGAAAAGGCAAATATTTCTGGGTCCCATTTCACTACCCATGGCAAATCCGCTAACTTGGTTGAAAAACTGTCTGTTAAACTGAATTGAATTGAGGGTGAGTACAAGCTCAGCCACTCAAATAATGGTGTTGGTAGGTATAGAGGGATGATGTTGAAACTCAAGGAAGTTTTTAAGAGCTGTATGACCATCTGCAGGACCATCTGTACAGAGAGCATGCATCAAGAAAAAACAAGGTTTATCCAAATATAATTTATATTAAGAACAATGGCAATTGAAAGCCAAAGAGGTAGAGTTGACAATTGTGTGTGCATAATCTAGATGAAATAGAATATCTGGAAAGATTCACATGAATCTATTATAAGAAAAATAGTGAAACCCTGGGAATCATATTATTGAAGAGTTGTTTTACTGACATACTGTGGGTAATCTACAAAATACATAATTCTTGAGAACAACATATAAGAACATGAAGTCGTATACATGGCTGGGGTACCGCGCTATATAAGACCACAGTAATAATAATATTTCTATACAACATTAGTTAGTGTTTATTTCAAAATAGCTAATTACATGCAGCCTGCAAACGTTTTTTTGGGTATCAGTGTTCTGCAAAGCCTTTTAGGTGGGCCACCACTGGTCTAGATGGGCAAAGGGCTGATCTACTAGTACATTAAAGATTTAGCACCCACCCTAAATTTGTATAGACACCTCCGTTTAGGGTGGGGCTAAATCTTAATTTGTTGGAAGAGTGAGTATTGATGCTCCTTATATGGTGTGAACCCACTTATTGCTTTGTTTGAAATAGCGCATAGGCTTTGGGGCCTTTCAGTATTGTTGACTAAAATAGCAAGGGGATAACAGTTTTTGAAATAATAGTCAGGGTTGTATTACTAGGGTGAAAACAGTAGTGAGGATCGTAACATTCTGTAAACGAAGCTAAGTCAATGGGTTCAGAGGATTCATGACTAGAGAATTTCATTACCGGTATCTCAAACAAAAATGTAATATTAAGGGATTCAAATACATTACATTACGGGGGTCCATGGAACAAAAAAACATGTTTTTCAAAGTAGTTTTTTAATTTTTGTTTCTACCAGAATGAACGTGTCAACAAAGAAGAAGACAATAAGAAAGCTCAACTTGGTCTGGATCAAGCTAATGTTGAACTTATTGCGAAAGAGGAGTTACAATTTCAGGAATATGCTAGAAAGGTCAGACAAAACAAATTTTGACAGGCATTAGAAAAAATAATTTAAGTGTTAACTGTTTATAAATATATATGTATTGCATCATGTCTAAAAAATCAGTTTAGTAAATATTTCTCAATCTTTGCATTTTAATCATATTGACCAGGTCATTGACCACTGCAGACAAGGAGGCCGCAACGTGTATCCCTTAGAGAAAGCAGCTGTAATGGGAGCAGGAGGTGGATTGGGCCCAACTTTTCCAGGCAAAGGAGGAGTTAGGCCTAGCTATATGGTGGCTGACAACTCAGGTGTTCAGATGCCCCACTATCAAAGAGACTCTACTAATGAAACCAAACTACAAATTAATGGGAAAAGTCCTAGCAAAAATAGGATGGGTTTTGTATGGTAGAGCCATACACTGTTTACTCTTTTTCTCTGAGTTACTAAAAATGTAAATGAAAAATAATAAATATACATAGTGCAAATTTCCAATTGACAGCATGAGGAAAAATATAATGTATTAAAATAAAAATAAATATATCTGTTTTTGGCACTTTAAAAAAAATCAGTTTTTTTATCCTGCTAATGTTTAAATTTTGCTTAAGTATTCAATCACCTACCATGAAATTTTTAGTTTAAATTTAAACATTATAAATTATATATTTTATTAATTATTTCACTATGGAATGGTAATAAGGAATGATCATCCTTAAGTTGTATCGAAATCACAATTTTATTTGAAGGGCTATAAAAAGAACTTTTTAAAAACCTGGAAGCTGCACCTGAAAAAAAATAAAATGAAAGAATTTGATGAAATAATATAAGAGTCCAGATCATGAATTCCTAATTTTATATGACTATAGACATGATGGAGCCCTGGTTCCCAACCCATTGTTTGTGTCTCCCCAAATATGGCTCATGGGGGAAAGGTTGTGTGTGTGTGTGGGAGGGGGGGAGTTGTCTATGGGGTTGCTGGCTGAAACAGTAACAATTAAAATTATTTTTTTTACATGAAAATTTTTTAATTGTCGTAATGAAGGTTTAAGTTTAACAATTCATTATACGACTTCTGTTTTGGTTTGGGTTTCTTGTAACGAATTATTATTTTTTTTTAATGTGTCGGGGTTGTGGATCACTTTGCTTTTAAAAATGGGGTTGGGATTTTTTTAAAAATTGGGAACCTGCATGATAGAGCATAACTGTGATGATTTATATCTGTGCACCTATTATTGTGACTTGTTTTAAAATTTAATTATAGTCATGTATAGTTATTAACAATTTAAATTAATACCCAGATTCTTAATGAATTCATAGTAAGTAACTTGAGAAGTGAGTAAGAAAACTTTAAAAAATATATATTAAAAAATTATTGAACTTCAAACAGGTCAAAGGATAACATTTTTTTTTTTTTTTTTGGTATTAATAATAATATTAATCTGCAGACCAATCCTGGTATTTCCCTTCCATTACCTAGTTCTTAACTACTAAGATCTAATTTGTTTTAAAATTTAATTATATTTATGTATAGTTATTAACAATTTAAATTAATACTCAGATTTTTAATGAATTCATAGTAAGTAACTTTAGAAGTGAGTAAGAAAACTTTAAAAAATATATATTAAAAAATTATTGAACTTCAAACAGGTCAAAGGATAACATTTTTTTTTTTTTTTTGGTATTAATAATAATATTAATCTGCAGACCAATCCTGGTATTTCCCTTCCATTACCTAGTTCTTAACTACTAAGATCTAACTCAAAGATTTTCCAACTTTTCCGGCCACCACTCCTTTGAATTGGAGCAAATTAACTCGTTTTGGTAGCCCCCTTCGAACCCAAGCATATTAGCATTTTCAGAATATAGTTTGTGACTATAATTACACAAGGAAATGTAAAACTGTAACATATATTTGAACAATTAATCAAATTTAAAATGAATAACTGTATTTGTATATAAATTCATTTGATCAAGAAATACCTTAGTAGGATCATTATTTAGCATGTTTTTTTGCTTATAAATTTTTGGCTCAGTTATAAAGTCCATTTTTAAAAAAAGTCTTTGTGTTGTCACCTAAATTCTATCATCCTTTCCTTGTTACTGACAATGAAAACTAAATAAAGTTCCTAATCCTCTTTTTAATTTATAATTTTAATATTTATGAAATATAAATATTTCCAATATAATTTCCTAAATGTCTCCTCCAAGAGTCATTCCCCCCCCCCCAAGCAGCCCACTTTGAGAATCACTGGTCTAAATAGTGGCATCATCGCTGTAACTCTTTAAACTCTATAGTCAGGTTTTGAAAACTTAACATGGCCTGCTTAAAACCTTATAACTTGAAATTTAATTTTTAAAACATTTCAGTGTTGTATGAGTTATGGAATCACTAATCTTGATTTTAAATATTTTAATATTTTTTTACTTTTAAAAAAAAAGATTATTGTTTTAAATAGATATTTTAAAAGTAAATATGCATTATTTATTATATTTTTAAAACGATGCATCTAAACAAGTTTTCAAAAGATTTAGAAATTGTTGGGGCTTTTCTTGTTTATATTGCCTTTTCTAAATGCAGATGTTGAAAAAAAAACTTTCTGCATTGTTACACTAATATTAGAGAAAATGTCAAAATGAGCTAGTTTGTTATGATTTTATAAAGCAAAATATAATTTATTATTTGTTACAGTACATCAATGTCTTTTTTGTTAGCTACTTTATAATTTAAATGTTTGTTACAGGTTCTCTAGATGTGGATGAAATGCACCTTCTTTCCTACGAACCACTCTGTCTTAAGAGAACATCTTAGATTTATCTCTAAAAATATGTAACATTTCTCCTATTTCTAAGGGAATATTTTATTAAAGGTTGTAAAATAAATTAGGGTGTAAAACAAGAGTTTGCAAAATATGAAGGTATGAAGAAATTTTTTGTACATGGTTTTATATAAATTGATTTCCCCTTTGTCTTGGTAAAATCTTGTAATCAATTTTTAACCACTTCTACTAAACTTCATCTGAACTTCTTGAATTTTTGTATACGTATCAATCATATGTCACTGTTGGGCTTTAGTATATTAAGTAAGCTTAATGTGTCTAAATTCCCATTTTAGTAAAATGAAGCCAGCACCTGGTGCCAACACTCAAAAGTTCAAAATACGTTAACTTAATACATGGCTACAATGCTTTTGGGAGTATTTTTTTACTGCACAAAACAATGGAACAAATGGTACAACTTCAAGGTGAAGTAAAAAATTATTGATAAGAGATCCTAGTAGATTAGAAAATTTAAAAGATGTACACACAAAATGTTTAAGTTGGGAAGTTGTATTAGAATGAACTACCTGGTACAAGTTTTTATTTTATTTTTCAGCTATCATATATTTTTTGTTCATCAGGTCACTTTTTCTAAAGTATATTTAAATAATTATCAGATTTAAGTTAATATAATTTAGATTTTTCAATAACTCATCTCTTCAAATCACATAGGAAAATATCAAACAAAGATACAAATGAAAAAATATTGGAAGACATTAAATAAAGATTAGAATAAGATTGTTAACATTATAAATATCTTTAATGTGAAATTAGGCACTGATTCTAAAAGAATTATATCTCATATACAGTACATGAAAAAAGAATTTTAAAGCATTACTTGAAATTATTCGTAAATCATTTACAAAAAAAAGTTTTACAATTTTATCACATTTCACATAGTAGACTATTTACAATAAAAGGTATTAAAATATATTACAATATTCAATGACAAAAAAAGTATGTGCCAAAAGTAACAGTACTGAAACTCATGCATCTTGAACAAGTGTTTGTATCTAAAAAGAAGGCACAAAGTAACAGTTATTCAGTTTATTGTTAGTAAATTTCGACATTGTGGAAACGTTCTTAGTCAACAGAAGGGGGGAGTCTAATTGAAAAGTAAGTGTATTTTACTTTGTTCTGAGACTTACATTCCAAAATAATTTTAATTCTCGTACACTATGGGCAAAATGTTCCACAGTACATTGTCCCAGCTTGCAGGAGTGATTTAGTATTGCCTGCTGGAGAGCATGTGTGTGATTCTCTATTGAGACAGTTGCTGATCAACCAGACTTTCCTTTAAGGATGACACAGTACACTTCAAGATACGGGTAGTTGAAATTTTGAAACAACAAATAGTGTTAAACACTGTGTTACTTCGTTCCATCTTATTAAATTTCTCAAAGATTTGTTCATCCACCTTATTTAAACGCATTCTCCCTTAACAAACACTTATTAATGCTCAACTATGGATACTTTTTCATTTCCCCCGTCGTGAGACCCATTTCCAACTCTAACTGCCCAATATATACTCCTTTTGATTATTGGGAACATGTGGGGACTGGAGATATGCATTACTGACAAATCCAGACATGTGTTCAAGGTGCGGGAGTTTCAGTTCTGTTACTGTTGGCACATGCTGTAATATCAGAATTTTGGGGGTGAAAAGTTGAAACTCAAATGAAAATTGATGGGAAGAAGTATAAATCATTATTCCATATCCACAAAAATGTACTGAAGGTAACACAAAATTCCGAGACTAAGGCTTCAAAGAAATGAAGGCTTTTTGTAATTGGCCATCTACAAACTTTATTCTATGGTGTCACAACTTCAGTCTCATTTTCAGACAAGACAAGTCATTTGGGAATCGATAAGGTGAATAGAGGATGTTGCACAATTACATTACTTTCTGCTGTTAAAAACTGTCTTGATGGAGGTGAAACAGAATTCATCATCATGATGCAATAGCCTATTTTGATCTTGTGTCAAGAGTTGCGGAACTAATTTGGCATCTAAAAGAAATAAGAGGACCTGTTGGAGGACTCAATCACTAATTCCAGTTTTTTTAAAAACTAGGTCCTGGAATGTTTGGCTACTTCCTCAAGGATAATTTAATTAATTTCTCAAAATTGTTTCTATTTTTTTCTGGTTATTGGAATTTTGGTCATCCCATGTTTGTAATCATTCAATGACTGTCATCTGGCCTTAAACAAGCTTTCTATTTGAAAACCCTAGCTCAACTTAAGAAATGATTGCCAAAAGTCTGATGTAGCATTTGGAGAATTCTCATAGCAGGTTTGCACAGTTAAAATGTTATTCTGATTTGTCAGCCATCCTAAGATCACCAGTCGTAACACCAGATTACAAAAACATTTTTTTAAATCTAAATTTATAATGGCAGACCTAAGTGACTCATCACACTAAGTCAGGAGGTTTGAGACCAGTGAACACAATGTGACAATGATAGCTGAACAAACAACTAATTAGTCTTGGAATTTTCAGAGGTCAACTTCTATAATTCAGAAGAAGTAACAATCAATTAACTTAAGAATAGTTTTCAAATGAGCAACAAAAAGTAATCTTTCTACTCTAGCTAATAAGAAAACAAAAATACAATCCCAAAAGAAGAAAAATGGACTTTTGATTAAGTTTTATTTATTCTTTTCTTAGAAAAAACAGTTCTTTTATTCTCAAAGCAGATATGATTAAAACAAAATATATATTTTAATTGTGCCAGCAAATTAAAATAAAAATTAATTATTAAAATTAAGCAAAAAATGGAAGAATCTAGTTAACTTCAGAAAATTACATTACCTATTAAGAATTGAGAAAATAACATGACTGTAAAATAAGGAAGCATTGAATACAAATGCTTTGTAAACAAATATCACATTACAATCAGGTCAGCCTAATCCAATGGGTGATTCAATAGCCAGTAAAGGTGCTGTGCTTTTGTTAATAATTGGCAATAAGTGCTACTTACAGTACATGATCAAATATAACCTAAAAACAAAAACATCAAATGTCTACATTTCCATAATTATATTTGCTTGAAAAAGCCCTCTTAAACTTAAATAAACGGCAAAATCCACTGTTTTCCAAATTTGGTAGTGGGACACAAAATTGCAGGATAGGTCAAAAGATGGCAGGTAGCCTGCTACAAAATTTAAGACATTTTAAATATTATTTTGATCATATGCTTCAAATAAATTAATCAAAGCTTTTGGAATGTTTACCAATAGAAAAGTTGAAATGTGACGCATTGTCTTGAAAATTATTTATCAGCAGGTCAGTTGGTGGCAGGCCGTGCAAAATCATTACCAACATCAGCGGGTGCCAAAATGTGTTAATACACTAGGTACAGTAAATTTTAAAGGAAATAAAGATCATCATAAAAATTTAATTAGGGAAATAAATCAACTCAATTTATTTAGTGGTGTAGACATTAATAAACTACAGTATAAAACATTGCGTGGTGAATGTTAATGCACAACTAAAAAATACTGAGTATGATGCAAACTTTTAATTTCCCATTTGTGATGAAAGATCATAAGTTACTCTGTAATACCGTAAATGAAGTCATGTAAGTTTATAAAGCTTAATTATTTTATCCTTTCAAATATGATTTCAAAATGTAGTAATGGTATTACTTCCCATTCAATGAATGTCTGTGTGTATGTGTATGTATAAATATATTTGACCATGCTAAAACACTTCTGAGAGAGTTGCATTGGCTGCCGGTCACATAGAGTACAAAATTGCAGCTCTGTGCTACCACTGCTTGCATGACCTGGCGCGTCCTATCTCAAAGCACTCATGACGCCTTATGTACCCACTCGACAACTCTGCTCATCTGATAGTGGCAAACTCTCGATACCATGTGTCCATGAGACTTACAGAAGGCGCACAATCGCATTTTCTGGCCCAAAAATTTGGAACACACTTCCTGTCACTCTCAGAAACAGCCGGACACTGGAGTCTTTCATAACCGAATTAAAAACATATCTATTTTGCAAACACCTGTTGGGGTGATGTTGTCTACCATCTGTTCCAGCTATTATCTCCTAGATGTATAGTGGCAGGTGTTGTGTATGGTGTCAAGGGATGAAAGACTTAGAATGGGTATTCTTGTATGTAGTTTTAGTAATGTTGCATTTTGTATTTCAATGAGTTAAAATATAGATTTTTTTTTCATTTCTTTTTTAATATTGATGACTTTTTACCACGCTTCGAGCCTTTGGGGTTGAAGCGTGATTTTCAAATAAGCTTTATTATTATATATATATGTATATATATATATCAAACTGGTTGCCTGAGTGTTAAATATGAAACAAGTACCATAATTTAGCCTGCTTTTATTTCTTTAAGGTTTTTGCTAAACAATCTTTTTTATATCTTGAACTTCTTTAGGGCTGGGTTTGTAAAGAGCATCATCAATGATAAAACTGAAAAGTAAGGATAGTGTAAACATTTGAATGAAAACTTATTGAAAAAAAATTATTTGAAAATATTTAATGTATTTTAAAATTCACAACACAAAGAAAATCTGTGCAGAAGATATTTTCAAAACTTTGAAAAAAAACAAAATATTGAAGTTTCTTCTACATTTAATTGGAATCCTCTGGTTTCATAGAGTGCATCAGTACCTTTTTGCACATACTTTCTTTGGCTTCACAGACTGCCTCACTACCCTTCTGCACATACTTTCTTTTCATAATGAATTTTAAGAAAATTATTTTCTAATTTTAAGTGTGTTTAAATTTCTTAAATTTTTGAATTCTTTTTTTAAGTTAAAAAATTTTTTTTTTTCTATTCAGCTCACTATCCCATATTTTTGATAATCCTTAAATAATGACAATATCAAACACAAATGTTTGTTGCGGAGGTTCTTCACTCCTTTAAAATACCTGGCAGACTTAGTTTTGCCCCATCATGTTGGATGTTAAAAGAAAAGTTACTTTGTCTTTATGATTTATGACATTGGTATGCTCAGTGTAAATTGATTCTAGTATCCCAAAGTGATTTACTTTTAAATAGTGTGACAGTACAATTTTTCTTTTTAATCCAATATGAAGTTATTGTTTTGCATCTTACAACAACCGTACTTATCTTAACCCTACAAAAAAGTTTAAGCTAAAAATATACTCATGTTACTTACCTATACCATAGTAGGTTTAGAGGCACTGTTCCAGCATGCCAAATGGCATGTGCATCAAACATCCAAAGTAATGGTGGAAAATCTCCTAATTCTAATCCAAGCAAGATATTGAGGCCTACCATCACAGTTATACACTTCCACACATAGGGTTTGCTTTTCCAGTACCATAAACTCCATGCAACCCATCCAAGTGCATTAACTGCTCCTGAAATTTAAATGTGTCAAATATTTTCTGTTTTGATGTTCCAATATGCATGAATTAGAGTGTCTAAGTCAAAGGGTTTAAACAAACAAACAAAAATATTGATGCAGTGATGTTTCAACTATCTGCAACTATATAATCAATCACAGACTTGTGGAGGTAAAGTTTTTGTTTTTAGTATTATTATTAATATAGATGAAGATTTTATGTAACTTTTACATAATAATTGTAATGCTATTCTGTCATTTATGGTTGACATTCATCACCACTGCTTTGTTTTTCTGATTTATCAAAAAGGTTATTACAAATGTTACTAAATATTGCAAATTTTACTTGCAATTCGATATAAAATGAAATTAATTCATTCAAAGAATATATGCCAACCTCCTGAAGTCAAAACTGGGTATAGACTTTAAATAAATAGACTGTACAGTACAAAAGATAAGCCAAAATACAATATTTTAAAAGTTTTATTATTATTTCTATTATTAAAATTTTTTGTTTTCAATTGTGCCATCTTTGACTTTTCATGATGTCTGGATTAAGTTTTACACCTAGGCAACAAGTGTCTGTTAATTTTACAAATATAATTGATCATGTCACTGCATAAAAACAGATAAAACACCCATGAGCCCCCTTTGGAGACATCCAAATGAGACAGTAACACATCACCTCTTCTACTGCCCAGGTCTTAAGTATACGCCTTAACTGTCAAGCAAAAATACAAGACAACCACAGCACCTTATAAGCAAACAAAGAAAAGCTACAGGAAGTGTGCAAATTTTTCCCCATGGCCTCGGGCCGAAGGACAACTGGTTTTGAATGATGATGATGATGATGACAAAAACATTCTCAAAGCTACCAATTACAATCTCACCTGAAATAGACTATTCATGGTTAAATCTCAGACTAGACATCCACTATTAGCAGTTGAAAAAGTACCCCCAATGCAACATTTAGTCATTTACTCATTCAATAACGATTGCTATGAGGTCACGTTGAATGAACCAATAGGTTATATATTTTATTATTAAACCCATTTTTTTTCAATGCACCCACATAAAATTTGTAATCAGAGCAATTTTCAACAGTAGCCGAAATATATGTTTTGAATAACCAGGGATAACAACATACACATTCATATAAGGTTTGCATAAATTGGAAAAAATAGGTACAAAATATTGGAAAACTATAAAATAAAATAACAAACTCCTCACTTCTGCTGCCATTTCATCGTTTTCTTTAGACTGGTACTTTTTGACTTTTGTACAAAACAGAGCAAGACACTGAAAGGTCACCTTTAATTTTTTGTTAAATTATAATAAGTAGGTGTTAGAGACTGCCTTACTTAAAATAAAACCCATTAATAGTTCCACATTTTCCTGATATTATCTCTGAAAAGTCTCTAGTCTCTTCAGACATAATCTGCACATTTAATTGACAAGCCCAAAACTATTCACAATGAACAAACAATTGTTTAAAATACTAGAGGGATATTTATATACACTTGGGTACCTTCATTTGGTTTGACTCAATACTGCAACAAAGAAGACAAGATTGCTGTAAATTTTGAAATTTATGAGACTTTGTGCAACAACATTATTTTGACTTTAAGGGTCACTGCCTCTAAGCCTTGTGAATTATCATAAAGAGGTGTGTATTTTTTTTATAACTGATTCACTGATCTGCACATCTATAAAGCTTGCAAAATCAGTACACCTCACATGCACCCAATTTTTGTAAAACTCAGGGGATCTGCTGCAGTGATCTCCAAATGCTTGACAAATATTTTGGCAAACTCCCATAAATTAAGCTTAGTTAAAGACGACTGATGTTCAGGGGAATCATCAGTAGAACCCAAGAAAATAAGAAAATCAGGGTCAAACAATTTCATTTGATCTGTCATTTGGCTGGGCTTAGTTGAGTCTGCAAAAAGAAACTTGAAGATGCATTGCATTGCTGCACTTTAAGCATCCCACATTCATCCTTAGGATCATCACAGATAATGAAAGTTTGGTATGATATAGAGACAAAACAGCAGTCCAAAACAGAAATTGAAGTTGCCACTTCAGCCTCTTATACATCTCAGATGGAATTAAACAGGCTTCATGAAAAGGACATGTGTGGTGCTTTTTGAGGCACAGAAGAGAAACTGGAATTACTGAATACTTTTTGAAGATGGCAGCCAAGTTAAAACAAGATAATCATGTAATTTTTCCTTGCCTTAGTTTCTAGGCGTTCCAATATTGTCTGTTAATGATTAATTTTAAAAGAGAACATTAAGTACTTTATTATTTCCATTTCACTTTTAAGCAAAAGACTACAAACCTATTTCTCTAATGAATGAAAGGATTTCTGATAGGTGGTTCTTCTTTCTTTACAAAATCACAATTAAAATGTTAGTTTTCCTAACACCAATACAAGTAAAATAAAAAATTAGTAAGATTTGATAACATATTAAAAGTTTAAAATTTCAACCATCAGAGTATAGACATGTTATACTCACCTATTCCTATATTAACTGCCATATTATAACCATAATCGAATTTAATAAATGCTAAATAGTAGATGTGGTAGACATATATGCCAGTAAGCAATACACCAACAAGAATAAGTTTAATTCTGTTTTTTGTTCCAGTCGCTCTAAAAATGAATGGAAAGAAACGAATCTCAGGTTAACTTGCAAATAAAAATTTAGAATAATTTTCAACAAACATATAGGCTCAACTAAATGATTTTTAAACTGTTTTTTCACAACTGAAATTTATTTTAATACCTTATTGTATGCACATTTTGATATTATTATTCAATTTTATATAACTTACCTACATATGAGTGTGAAAAGATTGTAAAGCACTAAACCAAATGCACTAAAATAGTCCAGTTTCTGAAGTTATTTAAAAAATATATATTAGTGTTTCATAATCAATATCAAATAAATTAACTTTTAACTACCCTTTTTAAATAAGGTAAAATAATAATAATATGCTCAGTTATTTAAAGGGAACTAATGTTAGAGCTTAAAAAAATAACTTTGAAAAAAAAACATTATGGGTTTTGAAAAAATATTATTTAAGAGGGGAAAAAAGTTAACTTACCTCTGTAAATGGGGTATCCTTAGTGTGAAATAAAGTAGCACACATCCATGTGGTAATTCCAACCTGCAGATAAATTTTGTTAAATTTAATGATCAACTGAAGTATAAAGTCTGGATAAAAAAAATTAAGAATTTAACATTTTTATTTGTCTCTTGTTGAATTAATGTTTAATTGAAAATGTTCTTCAGTTGAATGACTTCAAAAACAAGAAAGTATTGAGCAATTAATGATATATTATAAGTGCCTAGGTGACTAGGTGTTACCATTAATAATAGGCTGCCAAATATACACAGCCAAATTCTATATAAAAAGTAAATCAAAGACTTTTCTATACTAAACAAATAAGTTATTAACTTATTCTACAGTGCAACAATTGGTAGCCTTCTAAACTTCAGTAGTACCTGCTGGTTTGGGAATTCATCATCTGACATCAAACGCTTATAACATAGTCAAGAAAGTTTTTTAATAGTAATATCACACAATAAATCTAATAATATCAGACAAACTAAGCATCCTTCACTTGAAGAACTGTTTGAAGTTTAAGTGAGTTTAAAAAACTTTTCATTGTAAGCTTTGCTTGCAAACAATTAATAATTCTTACAACCACATTGGTGTTACATCATAAAAGAATTAAAAGGATTGTTTTTTTTAAAACATTATTAAAAGGTATAGGGAGTGGATTTTTAAATTAAATAACAGATGTATTTAAGGTTACAGAAATTATTTTTTTTGGATATGTAATCCAGTTTCGAGGTAGAATATACTTGAAAAGTTTTGCCTCCGTATTTTATTACACAAAATGCACATTGGGAAAAATTAAAATTGTGTGGCTATTCTAAGTCTATATAACAAGATTCTATTTAATTTTGTACTGGCAATGTCTGGAAAAATCACTTTTAGTAGTTTTAGGTCAATTTTTAAGCAACTCCCCAATTTCCTAGAGATGTGAAATTAGGTAATCTGCTTTACTTTTACTTTTTGGCTATCATATTTTGGCTGATCAAGGAATAACCAGTTCTGAAACAAGTGAAAATCTCACACTGGCAAAATTTAACAGAAATAAGCTCACAATTACTTGGATGTCACTAAAAAATAATTGAACATTAAATTTTTAATGTTGCTTCAAACAATTTTTTTTCTTAAATGTCTTTCAAAAAATAATTACCAAAGCCATGCCATGCCAAACAATAAACATAGGTGTAGAAGACGGTACTTTGGCCCGATAGTGAAAAAGAGCCAGATGAGAGAGGCCATTGAGTAGAGAAAATATCATTGAAGCTGGCTCTTGAATTCCTGCCAATCTGACGAATGGCCACTGAAAATATTTATTTTTAATTCTATTAGAAATTTGCAAATTTGTTCAAGCTACAGTAATATAATACTTTTGACAAGTTAAAAATCATCTATATAGTTTATTAAGTAAAGAAGCAATCTGGATTTGCATAACATTTATAATAAAGCAAAAGTGTACAATCTGGTGGTAATAAAATTCTATCTTTGCTTGGATTTGAAGTTTAAATACTTATTTTTTTAAATTTATATCTTGCATAAAAAGTTTTTTTTAACAGACAATCCTGAGTTTGTTTTAAATATCCAAATATGACATCCCACTATATAGGTGATTCTTTACCCAACCCTTCCTTTCCTCCATTGTCACATATTGTCACACAAACTTAGAAACCTCCCTCCCCTTGAATGAATGATGCCATATATGGATGGCCCCATATATTTCAGTTTTTGTACGCACCTTGCCAAAAAATTGGGGTACTTGACTACTATCACGATGATATGCCTCAACTGTTGTCCACATACACTCATATTTGCATTCATCCAAACATGTCCACCTTAGAAACTGCATGTGCAAAGGTTGGGCTAATGTGAACTCTGTTACATTTGAACAATTTTGAGCAACACAGCTTTGGATGCATTTTCCAAATATGTATGATCTATCCCCATTTGATGCATTAACAAATTTAATGATTCCAATGCTAATGCTAATATTGACGACAAGTAGATTGAAAAACAGCCCCATCACGCTTCTTAAAACTTTGTTTAAGCATTAGCTATCTGAAATAAAATGAGCATGACAAGATATTATATACTGCTGTTAATCATTTAGAATGTAAATAGATAATGATGTAAAGCCATTTAAGGTAATAGTAATATGTTAGTAAATGCCAAAGATAGCAATCAGATGAAAAAGTGTTGCCACCTGAAACTTTTTTCACTACCAGTGATTATTTTGTAGATTTTGTATTGATTGAAGAAAGTTGTGGATTGTTATTTTTATGTCATTTCCTTCTTTAAATCATGATGGTTCAGTTGGGAAAAAGTTGTGGATTGTTTTACAGCTTAATTTCATCAAGTTTTTTAATTTATAAATTTCTATTTGACAAAAATCTAATGGAGATGTATTCAGCAATAGTCTTTAAAAACTTGCAGTGTAACCTCTTGATTTCTTTCAATACAAATCTTAACAAAAAGAATTTCAGCTAAAGGATCCTTTCCTCTTCTATATGGTATTCTAGAATCCTCTGAGTAAACCAATTGGTTTGGTTTCAATAAGCCTGATTTAAACATGATATGCTGGCGTGGATATGCCAAATAGATGATTGCTACATAGGGTTACCATAAGTCCTCAGATGAAAAGGAGGAATATCAAAATTTTCATCAAATCCTGTTACCAGCCCATAGCCGGCTCCTAGAGCTATCCTTCTTCTTCTTCTTCTTCTATATCTTAAGGGCCCACGATCAATTTATTGATCATTTTGGCTCCTATGCATGTAGATGGGATTTGCAATGTTTCTGTTACTGGTGGTGATGAGGAAATTATGCACTAGGGGTTTGAAGGCTTGAGGCAATAGACACAAATGTGTCTAGTGTTGTCGCCTCAACTGTTCCTTTTGAAAGATGGTTCCAGTCCCTGATTGTCTTGGGCAGGAATGAGCAGCTCCTATACTGGCTTCTTGCTGGTATGAGCCTGAATTGCCTGTCATGGCCTCGTCGCTGTCTATGGGGGAGAGGGACGAGTTTCTGTTTAATACTGGAACAGTGGACCAGCCCATTATTTATCTTGTACATCATGGAGAGCCTGGATTGTCGTCGTCGTTTCTCCAATGGTGACCAGCCTAGTGTTTCTAGCATGCTGCCAACACTAGAGGTATTCCTGTAGCGGTTTAGGACAAAGCGTGCTGCTCGTCGCTGGACCGCCTCCAACCTGTCAATGCTCTTCTGGGTAAATGGGTCCCAGACTGAAGATGCATAATCTAAAATCGGACGGATAAAGGCTTTATATGCTCTTTCTTTCACACAGGAGTTGCCAATCTTTAGATTTCGCCTTAAGAACCCTAGGGTCTTGTTTGCTTGGTTACATACATTGTTAATATGCTCGTCCCAGCGGACCTCTCTTTGAATGGTAACACCCAGGTACTTTACGGAGGAAACTTGCTCAAGAATATGGCCGTGCAGTTTGTATTGGTAGTGTAGAGGAGTACAACTTCTAGAGATTGATAGTGTCTGGCACTTGGCAGGATGAAATTCCATGTCCCAGCTCATCTCCCACTCAGCTAACAGATTGAGATTTATCCTAGTGTTAAATGCTGGACAAATAAAAGTAAAGTTAAACTAAATAAAATATTTTTCTTATTGTAAATTAATTAGACACAAACAATTTGTGTTAATAAGAGAATACATGTTCAGCTTTATGTTCAGCATTTGATGATTTTACAAAATACAAATGTAAATGTTTTGTCAAATGCCTTCATCAGTTCAAAAAACAAAACATTTAAATAAGTAAATATTAAATTTAGCTAATAATTTTACATACCTGCCATGTCTTTTTCCTGTTTGGTTTTTAATTTTACTTCCATTTACTTACTTCCGTTATTGTTAACTTTGTTTTTGTCTTGGTTTTGCACCCACTCTTATTCTTTTCTATTTGTTAGGTGGAGTACATGTACAGGTAAAAATATATTCATCATCGTCCCTTAGTCCTTGGACCCTTGGGGCGCCACAGATGACATGTGAACTATCCTCCCCCATGCCTCTCTGTCTTTTGCACTACGCACAGCATCGCCCAGTGTTAGTCCTGTCCACTCTTTGATGTTATCCTCCCATCATTTTCTTTGTCTTCCTCTTCTTCTCCCTCCTCTTGAGATGCCCTGCAATATTTCTTTGGCAAGCCCTTGTTTCCTTGTTACGTGGCCGTACCATTGAAGTTTGCGTTTTTTCAGTCACCAGTAGGTCAGCGTACTCCCCAATTGCCTGGCGAACCCTTTCTTTCACTGTATCATTGAAGTTATGGTCCCTATAGCAGATGCCAAAAATGCTTCTGAAGCATCTCATCTTCATCGCCTTTACTTTCCTTTCAAGATCTGCTGCTAATGTCCAGGATTCGCAGGCGTACAGGAAAATGGAGAGGACTAATTTATATTTTAAGGAGCATTTGCTGAAACGTTTACATTTGTAATCTTCTTTAAAGCTTTATCACAGTCTAACACTCTTATAATTTCTTATTGTAAGTAGTTAAAATTATACAATTGTATTAATTGAATGTTCAGTGCACATCATTACACTGACTGATTTTTGCTTGCAATATCAGAATCAAGTTTCAAGTAACATTTTTTTCAATAAGTGACCAATACAGTCCTTGATTTACAGCTGTGATGGTGCTTGACAGTGGGAAACTTCGATATGCCTTCAGCTGTTGAAACAGATTCATCACTTTTCAAACTTGGTGTTATGAATAAATTGATAATTTTGGTAGATGAAGTTTTTTCCAAGAACACTCCTTACATACTTCTGCGTTCGACTTGCGCCTTTAAATCCAGTGCATCCTTATATATAACGTATATAACGGCGATATAAATTCCACTGCCGCATGTCAAACATTCAGCTTCCCAGTTATATCGACCCGCAAGAAAACCTGGGTATTGGGTTTTCAGTGCGTGTATATTAATACTAACGTTTCTGTATTTTTTAAATCAAATATTTTTTATTCAGCTTGAACATTTATTTTTTATCAATTGACACAAACTCGTGTACAGTACCGTTATATGTATATAAAAATGGCTTCCAGAAACCAAAGCTTCAGTGGTTACCTAAGTAACACTTACCATTGGACTAAATACTGACAGAACAAAATAGCATATAACACAGAAAATTAAGTAAAAACGTATGGCTCGTGGATGGACAAAGTAAATACCTGGCCAAAAACCTTATTTTTGGTAAGCCTCCTGGACAGGAGCCTAACAAGAAGACATGTCCGGGGAAACCCAGAAGCACTGTTACCCTACTCCTACAAAAACATTATAGGGCCTACATTAGGGTGACCAAACGTCTCGTAAAAACGGCATTGTCCCGTTTTTTCATCATCATACCCGGTGTCCCGAAAAAGTCTCTCGGGATGCTAAAATGTCCCGTTTCGAAAACCAAACACATTTTAAAATCACTAAAACATCCTAATTTATAATATAACTTCAAGTAATATTTTGGCTAGCTGTGTAGCCAGAGCCAGTAGTAATGTGGGCTCGCGGGATGGCTGCACTGTTCCCCCTCCACCACTCTGCCGATGCTGCGTAAACGACAGTGTCCCTGCCATAGATATTATATGTATAAATAAATAAATAAGTATTCACTGCAAAATTTTTTTCTTTTATGATATGTCTCAGAATTTAAATTAAATTACAAAAGTGAAGGTAAATTTAAAAAAATTTCTAGGTCTTAAAATTGTTAAAATGAACATATTTAAATAAACAGTTTCCGGCGGAGGCCCCGGACCCCTCTTTAGCTGGAGGGTATCCCCCCAAACCCTCTTTGGGTGTGTCCCATTTTTCCAGTTCATGATTTGGTCACCATAGCCTACATTATGCACTTCAAAAATCAGCATTTTGTGGTTGTTATCTTCCAAGCCTGAAATCTGGAGATTTTTATTGATGTATGAGTATGAGTATTTATTATGTGAAACAACTTTTTCTTCAGTCTTCAGTAATTCTCCCCTCATGTGAATGTCAGGGCTGAATTAAAATGTGCTTGTCTGAGAGTTTAAAATTAAATAATGGAAATATAGGAAAGAATACTCTGTCAACCTCATACTCATAAGCTATAAGCCTAAGTGACTTAATAAGTCTATACTATAGTACTAATATTAGTAGTTAGTAGTACCGGTATTAAAAATTGTGCATTATTTTAGTTTTATGAAATGTAGCAGTTTACTGGCATTGATTTGAATGATTGATGATTGAATGATTCTTGGGGCCAATATAATTGAGCATGCAGCATTATGATCATACGCCTAAACTAACTATTACTACAACAAGACGAGACTACAGCCTGCTTATGACATGACCCAGCCTGCCTATGACCCATAATAGTCTCATCATAGCTATGCATTATATTATTTATTATTTATATATAGCCTTAGCCTTGGCCAAAGCCTTACCATAGTTATGACATAGGCAAAGGCGGGATAATCTATAATAATAAGTCTATAGACTATACTATAGACACTATTCACTATATAGTCTACTCTATAGTTACTATTACTAATAGTTATAGACTTGTAATATAAGTTATAGTCCTATTATAATTATAGTCTATATTATATATAACACTACTATTAGTAATTGTTGTATTATTATTATTAGTCTATCCCCAATATTATATATAATTTTAATTGCCAATAACATCTGACCCGTCAGGTCTAAGTCTAATGTCTAATATAATAAAACAAATCTCTTTTTAATTTTTTTTTTTTAAATTTTGAATAAGTTAGGCTTGAACTCTTGTAATAGATAGCATTTCACTGATTGATTACTTGTTCATACTTCTTTTGTTTACAGTTTTGGTGAAATTATGATATATATTACCGGTATATATATATATTTTAACCTTATGAGATTCCACTTTTTACCGAGATCTAAAATAGATCCGAGAAAATTGTATCTTTAAGATTTTAAAAATTAATTATTTTTAATTCTGGATGCTTAAGTTTTTCAGGAACTTTCGAATGCGATTGCATTCTGGCAGAGGAAAGTTTATCATAATTTGTTAGTAAGTTAACTAAGTTTATAGTTGTGGAAAGGGGGGGGGGGGGGCTTTTACACGAAATTGCACTTCTGTTTCTCTCCGATTAAGAGTAGAATGATGCAAAAAGAAATTCAAGTAGGCCTATGCATTGTCACTCATTGTGAATTTGACCCTAAGCCCTATGGTATGGTGTCTCCAGATTTGCCCCCGTCTCGACCCCTCAGCCAACGCCACGCGCCGAATGCGCCGCCGTATTTCGTCCGCTGTAAAATGAACGAGTCGCGGTAACGTAATGTTTTTGCTTTCTTAAATGCTGCATCTATAGGTACCCGGGTACATATGGTCGCCAATGACTATTCGCACCCGGACGGAGTGGCTCCGTACATATTAATGGCTTCGGAGTCGGGTGTGATAACAATAATAGTATGAGAATTATTTTTTTAAATTGTTTTTTCTCCTTGTTACTTCATTGATTAATAGTTTTATTATTTTTAGTTGTTTATTTATTTTTGCTTTTTTAATTTCTCTTAGTACCGGTAGATTTTTTTTTCTTTCTTATTTCCTTTTTTTAGTTTAAGCCATTTTCGTAGATCAATTATTTATTTTTTTAATCTAGTAATGAAGATGATTTAGATACATTTATTGTTTTCATTTGAATTTTAGAAAAGTAATAATATTAATTTAAGTATTAAAATTAAATCCTTTATTTAAGATTGTTTATGTGTATTGTTTAAGTTAAAAGATTTAATCACACACTACTTTATTAATTAATTAGGTATTCTAAATAATGAAAATTTCATTCATAATGAATTAATTTCAACTACTCCTCTAGAGAGCTTGGCTTAGTCAGAACAAAACCACCAAATTTAAACCTTTTTCTTGGCACTGGCAGTCATACATGCGGACACTGACTGTTTTTCCTGATATCTTGAATCTCCTTTCAACAACCTTTCTCCTTTGACTTGATCTAATTCACAAGGTAGTTGCAATGAACATCTCAAAGTTAAAGGATGCCATTGTATGAAGTATGAGAAGGAGACTTATATTTGGAGGACTAGTCTTTTTTTTTTTTTACCATATCTGTCTAATAGGTCTATCACACTGGTACATAATTTAAAAGAAAAAAAAACCCTTAATTGACTTGAGAACATTTTTGTTTGGTTGTTAGTTATTTGAGTTCTGTACTCAAGTAATCCATAGAACAAATTAGGGGCCAGTATGGAGTAGGCAGCCAATAAACTCATTCAATTAGGTCACATCATTCCTTTGCCATTTGTCTCCTTTTACTTTCTCACCTTCCTTATTGGTATCCGTACAGTTAACTATTGTTTGTACGGTATCATTTCTTCATTTATGTACAGACGTAATGATTGAGTGGGAGCAAATATATGTGATCTGTGAAGGGAGTTTGGTTTCAAGGCAACTAAGTCCTGCAACATTGAAAATAAAATACTGATAACCCTAAATAAATAGAGCCATTGAATAAAATATAGTACATACAAACCATACACAAACAGAAAGACTAAAATCCACTAAAGTTTTTTTTTTACATTTGTTGTGACTTTTATTGCAAAAAATTAAACATTGTACTGTATTGTAAATGAAACTAGGCATACACATTAAGAATAACATTGACAAAAAGTTTAAAGCAGATTATTACACAGCAGTTATTGAAAGTGTTACAAATGTCATGTATGTGGGGGGTCACATAAATATTTGAGAACTTTTCAGGGGTAGCAAATGTAAAAATGTTATAAAACTTTCTAGTTGGATATATATATAAAAAAGCCTCTTGAATTTCGTAAAGAATATCAATGAAAAAAAGACTGCAATTTTGAAGGGTGTAGCTAAAATACTTTTCCTCCCGATTCATTTGGCGTTCTTTAAAAATCCAGAAAATGGAAAATTGAGAAAAATGAAAAAATATTATAAAATTGTGTTTTTTTAAATTAGAGGCTGCATGAACGATATAGGATGCATACACCATGTACATATATCCTTCATGATTTAAAAATCAATTAGAAAACTAAGACAGAAAAGATAGAGAAAAAAAATTAACACATGAACTTAATAAATAAAATACATAAATACAAACATTCTGAAAACTTTTCCTATGAGACAATTGTTTAAAAACAATCCATCATAAAGTAAAGAATCTCAATATAAATAAGTATGCAAAGTTTCAATTATGTAGTTCCAAAACTATTCCTCCTGATTCATCAATTGATGTCAGGAAAAAAAAAATGAAAATGCTATATCTATAAAAGCTGAAAAACACACTGAAACAACATTGGATGCATACATCATGAACACATTCCAAAAAATTATTGTTAGGTTGTAAGCCAAAATTTGGTATCAAATAAAAGATAATTGAATGGACTATATGCACTATATGTTTGTAAACTTAATTCTTCAGTTTAACTAAAGGAAAGTTAACAAAAAATAAACTACCACAAATGACATCCGAATAGCATTGGTCTATTAGACCCGGGTTTGAATAGCGGCAGCCATTTATTTACACACCAAAAAGTTATTTTTTCAGAACATTAAAAACATTCACATATTTATTTTATACAAGTAGTTTAAAATTGTTGGGGCAGCTATCTTTTTCTTTTCAGGGTAAAATTTTGTTTTACCTTCGGTCGCCCCTTTGGGCGAACTCTGTCAAAGTTAACCTTCCGAAAGGAACTAAAACTATTTTCAGTTTCAATTTTTTCTAAATTATTTGCAGCAACTGTTTCCTCGTGGAAAAAATGAATGTCATTTATATAAAAAAAATCAATTAGTTGACTTTGAATGAAACTTGTTTGTAGTTAACCTTCATCAAGTTGTGACACCAATTCATTTCCATCTAAATTTTCAGGACTTTTCCAGAGACTTATAGTAGTTTCAAGAAAGGATATTTTCTCTACAAAATCTTGTTCTCCTTGCATCGCCAAAAAATTTGCCAAGCCCATACAAATTCTTTTAGCATGATTAAACCGGCCCTCTTGAGTCTTAAAATTATTGTTTCTAGTAGATACAATTTGAGAAGTTACTGAACCACTACACTAAAAGTAGAAGCAACCACTCTAGGAAAACCATGTTTGCTAAAACGGCATGGAATTAACTCTGAACAAAATTCTGGAAGCTGTAAATGTCTTCGAACTGAAAAATTACGTCTGCAAGGTAATGCTATCTTTTTAGCAAATGAACAATTACATTGAACTGATGTCGAGCTAAAAATATGTTCCTTATAAGCTACTGAAAAAAGTTCTGCCTCTCCAGGGACAACAGAGTACAGAACAGATCGTAACAATTTGAGCTGATTGAACAATAGAGCAGCAGCAAAGGAAGTAGCAACACTTTCAATCTTATTTACACTTTCATCATTATCAGATGACGTATACTGAGCTGTTTGCAGCAAGCAATCTTAAACGATCACATACCGTAATTTTGCAGTTGTCAAAAGACATAAGGTTACGAAGAGCAGATGAAAAAGAAAGATAATGAGTCAAACTATTTTTTATTTTGGCATGATAAGACTCCAAGTGATTTGTTGTTGTCGCATGAGAGTCTTAAAACATCAGCATTGGATGATGCTGCCCATAAATGGGCCTTACTCCACCAGTTCGACTCAAAATACTCCAAAGCTACATCAGGAAGAGTATCTTTCATGTCTTGCATCAACTTTAAAAATTCATCTGTTTGTAAACTTAATTCTTCAGTTTAACTAAAGGAACATTAACTAAAATAAACTACCACAAATGACATCCGAATAGCATTGGTCTATTGGACCCGGGTTTGAATAGCGACAGCCATTTATTTACACAGCAAAAGTTATAATTTTCAGAACATTAAAAACATTCACATATTTATTTTATACAAGTAGTTGAAAATTGTTGGGGCAGCTATCTTTTTCTTTTCAGGGTAAAATTTTGTTTTACCTTCGGTCGCCCCTTTGGGCGAACTCTGTCAAAGTTAACCTTCCCAAAGGAACTAATACTATTTTCAGTTTCAATTTTTTCTAAATTATTTGCAGCAACTGTTTCCTCGTGGAAAAAATGAATGTCATAGGTAATGCTATCTTTTTAGCAAATGAACAATTACATTGAACTGATGTCGAGCTAAAAATATGTTCCTTATAAGCTATTGAAAAAAGATCTGCCTCTCCAGGGACAACAGAGTACAGAACAGATCATAACAATTTGAGCTGATTGAGCAATAGAGCAGCAGCAAAGGAAAGGAAGTAGCAACACTTTCAATCTTATTTACACTTTCATCATTATCAGATGACATATACTGAGCTGTTTGCAGCAAGCAATCTTAAACGATCACATACTGTAATTTTGCAGTTGTCAAAAGACATAAGGTTACGAAGAGCAGATGAAAAAGAAAGATAATGAGTCAAACTATTTTTTATTTTGGCATGATAAGACTCCAAGTGATTTGTTGTTGTCGCATGAGAGTCTTAAAACATCAGCATTGGATGATGCTGCCCATAAATGGGCCTTACTCCACCAGTTCGACTCAAAATACTCCAAAGCTACATCAGGAAGAGTATCTTTCATGTCTTGCATCAACTTTAAAAATTCATCACACGACTCAGTATAAACTTGAGACATAAATCCTTCAAGAATTGGCTTGACATGCTCAGGACCTACATGTTTTGAAAGAAACCTGTGCACAGCCTGGTTAATGGGGAAAATGACATAGATTAACAGGTACATTTGGAAACAGATCATTTATAGCAGAGATTTCAGCCATGTCTTTGTCAACCACAAAGCACTTGAAAAGACTGGCATCAGAATTCTTCAGAAGAACTGCAAACAAAGAGAAATAGATTCCTATCTTTTTTACAAAACCATGAAGAACAGGAAAGCCCCTGCCCTCTCCATCAATAACCATTACAGTCAAAAGTGGATATAAATATTCATTGGTTTTATATGTGATAATTTATTTAATAAAAACTCTGGATATTGGGCAATAATTCTAATCATATCATCAGTCATGTATGATAAATACTTAAATTCCCTACTTTTTGTTAGTCCATAGGACACACTTCCACCAGCTTGTGATATAGAATGAAGTATAGATTGAGTTTCAGTTGCATCAGAAGATGATTTATTTATTTTTGACTTAATATCGTAAATATCCCTGGGAAGCAAATCCACATCATGCTGTTGT